GTTTAGAATCTTAGTACATGTAACGAGTTTAGAATCTTAATATTTTGAGTATAGAATCTTAATATTTTGAGTATAGAATCTTAGTATTTGAGTATAGAATCTTATAGAGTAATGCATCTTAAAGAATAGTATCCAAGATATAGAGTTTTGTTATTAAGAGTTCAAATCTCAAGAATTATGTTAAATTTTAGTGTATTTTATTGACCTCGCGTCAATAAGGGGGGAGTGTGTTCTGAAATGATTAATGATTGAAGGGAGACAACTCTTGTTTTCTTTTGACTCTCTTTTTTTGGAGTTAAAAAATGTTGTAAGAAGTTGAGTTGGCAGCCATATTTTGAAACCATGTGTTTTTCTTTGTAAAATCTTGTATAGTCAAGATGTGAGTACTGAGTATAGAAAGGCAACAGCCTTTAATAAACATGTTTCCTATATAATCGAGTATCGTTTCTATAATCCAAAACACGAGGGATCAAGTCTACTTGTTATGTCTAGGCTAGATAGATTAACATGTCATAAGTTCATCAACCAATATAAACAGCTGAAGATGTTTATCTCTATCAGGAGAAAACACAACACCGACATTATTTTCCCTAGTCCACATAATATATAACATTGTTTTCTTCTTGCTACTAGCGGAACATGTTTCAGCAGTTCTGTTATATTCTGGAGATTAGAATTCTTGTAGGTCGAGACGGGTTTTTTGTGTTATTGTTTGGAGAACAGAATTCTTGTAGGTTTCACAAGTTCGAAATGATGAGATAGCTAGTCTTCAAACATAAACAGTTTCTTCTCTAATGCAGAAACATAACACCAAAATGGATTCAGATTTCTTGTATTCTGGTTAATGTAATGGTTGGAGACTGTAGACTTACCATTACTTCTTAGAACAAGTACACAAACACATCCATACCCATTTGGAACTTCTGTTCTTTGGGAACTGTAATCAACATTTACACAGACCTGAATTCAAGGTATATGACATTGTTAATCTAACAGGATTGTGGCTGATTTACATCTATGCGATATACTGGCGATTTCTATCTCGCTTCTATTGCGTTTTCTGGTGTGCACACCCCATTCAATTTTCATGTGGATGTATAGTTTCGTCCGAACGTCGGTTCACATTTCTTTGTGGACAGTCTACACGTCACAACTTCATCCGATTTTTGACGAAACTTGATATTTCTAATATTGACATGTATTGAGTCGTAACTTCGTGGATCATATCCCCTTAATTGTATGATTGAGCGGCTCTCAATTATGGGTACAAGACCGGCTGAACGGTCCAGTTCAGTAGGGATTAAGTTAATTTGGTTTTCATTTCATTTTTGTTTGTCATTGAACATGTACTAATTGCTTTCGGCCGTAAGTTTGTTTTTAAGGAACCAGGTTAGTGGGTGCAGAATGGTGGATACAGATGGAAGAGGATGCAGGCAAGGCAGTATGGTGATCTGTTTGGATGATTTGGAATAAAAGGAGAGTACAGTTTTTTTTTTCTGACTGATTTTCTTGGGGGTGGTGGCAAGCTGCAGACTGAGCGTCTCTTAATTCTGATAATACCAGCTGAACAGTCCAGTTCAGTAGAGATTAAGTTAATTTGGTTTTCATGTCATTTTTGTTTGTCATTTCACATGTACTAATTGCTTTCGGCCACCTAAGTTTGTTTTTCAAGAACCAGGGCCTGAGTTCACAAAGCATTCTCAGACTTAAGTTAAGAATTTACTCAAACTTGTTCACCTTATTTTAATTAAAATATAGCCCTTTATAATAATTTTGTTGTTTTAATGTACCAGATACATCAATAAGAAACTATGTGCAAAGTTTTGTGTTTCTGGATCAAAGATATTTCTCATAAACAGTGAGTGAAAGTTGAGTAAATTCTCAACTTAAGTCTGAGAATGCTTTGTGAACTCGGGCCCAGGTTGGTGGATGCAGAATGGTGGATACAGATGGCAGAGGATGCAGGCAAGTCAGTATGGTGGACACAGAAAGGTGGATACAGAATGGTTGACACAGACGGAAGAGGATGCGGGCAAGGCAGTATGGTGATCTGTTTGGACGATTTGGAATAAAAGGAGAGTACAGTTTTTTTTCTGACTGATTTTCTTGGGGTGTTGTGGCAGGCTGCAGACTGAGCATCTCTTAATTCTGATAATACCAGCTGAACAGTCCAGTTCAGTAGGGAACACATTAATTTGGTTTTATTTTCATTTTTGTTTGCCATTGCACATGTACTAATTGCTTTCGGCCACCTAAGTTTGTTTTTCAAGAACCAGGTTGGTGGATGCAGAATGATAGATACAGATGGTAGGAGATGCAGGCAAGGCAATATGGTGGATACAGAATGGTGGATACAGATGGGAGAGGATGCAGGCAAGGCAGTATGGTGATCTGTTTGGACGATTTGGAATAAAATGAGAGTACATTTTTTTCTGATTCATTTTCTTGAGGGTAGTGGCAGTCTGCAGACTCGATGTATTCTGGTGATTTGTAGCAGACAGTTTCTATGTTATCAGGAGACTAGAATTGGTTGTAATGGTTGTAGGCTGCAGATTTACCATTACTTCTTAGAACAAGTACACAAGTACATCCATACCTATTTGGAACTTCTGTTCTTTGGGAACTGTAATCAATATTTACACAGAACTGAACTCAAGGTATATGACATTGTTAATCTAATAGAATTTGTGGCTGATTTACATCTATGATATAGGATGGTTGGATGGCTGAATGGTTAGCACTTGCGCGCTGTATCATAAAGTCTGTCATTGAGTCAACTGGCGGGGTTTCGATTCCTCGGTTGTACGTTTCAAGGAGGAGGATCGCCTGTCCAACCTCGTGGGTTTTCGCCGGGTCCTCCGGTTTCCTCACACTGCTAAAGACCCCTACGCGGAAGCGAATTATGGAAATAAAATTGAATCATATGTTAGTACCGAAATTACCTAGATGTGTCGAGTGGATGTTAAACTCTCTCTCTCTCTCACTCACTCACATCTTGGGCTTCTGATGCAGAACGGAAAAAGATCCAGTAAAGTTCACACATTAGGCGATACTATATAGACAGTCTTATTCATTTCCCTAGAATAGAACATTTGGGGTTGTTTCATCTTGTAGTTTAAACCGACATCCTTACTAAATGTGTGTCAAAGACCTGTTAGCAGGTGTTCCTTTACTGTAACATGTTGATTCAAATATTGATGAAGTTCTTGTGTAATTTGGATTTAACTATTGTTATATCTCTATATATCGCCAACGGTCATCAATTTATTTTATATGCCCCCATTTTCATGTCGATGTACATTGTCGTCCGAACGTCCGTTCACATTTGTAGACACTCTGCAGGTCACAAATTTCATCCGATTTTGACGAAACTTGAAATATAGATTGATATGCTAAAGTTGTCGGTTCCTCTTGATATTGACATGGATTGGGTCGTAACTTCATGGATTATGGCCTCTGATTGTATGAAAAATAACGTTTTAGCTTGCAGGTTCTCTATGTGTGAAAATTGTGTTCGATTTTGATGAAACTTAAAATATATTTTTATAATCCAAAAATCTTGGTTCCTTTCTACCTTGGCACATAGCGGATCGTAACCCTCCAGAGGTCACAATTTTATACGCCCACATTTTTTATGTGGACGTATATTGTCGTCGCCCCTGTCCGTCCGGACGTCCGGACCTCCTGACGTCCGTCCGTCCACAATTTGTTTGTGGACACTCTACAGGTCACAATTCTTATCCGATTTTGACGAAAACTTGAAATATAGATTTATCTCCAAAAGATCTCGGTTCCTTTCGATATTGGCATGTATTGGATCGAAACTTCATGGATTGTGGCCCCTGTTTGTACAAAAAATCACGTTTTTAGTTTGTGGACACTATATAGGTCACAATTTTTATCCGATTTTATTGAAACTTGAAATGTAAGTTGATCACCCAAAGATCTCGGTTCCTTTTGATATTCGCGCATATCGGACTGTAACTTCCTGAATTATGGCCCCTGATTGTACGAAAAATCGCGTTTTTAGCTTGTGGACCCTATAGAGGTCATAATTTTTATCCGATTTAAAGAACCGTATCATTATGTCACCGTTACACCCTAAGGACGGCTGAGTTCGAATTTTGTGAAAATTGGCCAGAAATTGACAGACAAAATAGCCGCCGTTCGTTCTCAAATAGCGTAAAAATATGGTATTTTAAGGTTGTGGACCTTTATAGATGTCACAATTTTTATCCGATTTTGTTGAAACTTGAAATGTGAGTTTATAACCCAAAGATCTCGGTTCCTTTCGATATTCGCGCATATCGGACCATAACTTCCAGAATTATCGCCCCTGATTGTACGAAAAATCACGTTTTTAGCTTGTGGACCCTATAGAGGTCATAATTTTTATCCGATTTAAAAACCCGTATTATTATATCATCGTTACACCCTAAGGGCGACTGAGTTCGAATTTCGTGAAAATCAACCCAAAATTGACAGACAAAATGACCGCCGTTCGTTCTCAATAATATAAAATAATATATTTTATATAACTTTTGAAGCCCAAATAAAGACCTGCAATAGGCAGATTTAGCTTTAACATGATACAGAAAGCAAAAACAAAACGATAGATAATCCACCGACGTTGGCAGGGGATACCGAATATGTTACGAAATTATCAATGTATCTTTTGCAAACATTGAACGGGACTTTTACTGATATTTCTTTTGGAGATATAACTTTCACAATATTTCAGATTTCATCAAAAATGACAACGAGCGGCTTTAAGTTCATTAAAACTTTAAATGTATTTCTTCTATTTTCGTTCATTAATGAAAATTCTTGCTTTTACTCCTGTGTGTTCTAAGACTTTATTTTAAGAGAGCAAGTTATATATAGTAACTTGTGCTTGATTAAGTCAATAATTATTTCGCAATAGTTTCAGCCACAGCAAGTCTGAACTCGACCACACTTTCAACCAATCAAACAGATGTATGTTGTACGATGATGGTATATATAGACGCGTCATGGGATGTAGAGCTAATGGCTAGGAACCGATTTTGATAAGAATGTAAGTAAAATATGTGTTAAATCCTATATTGCAGCACATATATTTATAAAAGAGCGGATATTCGTGGTCACAGTTTCACCTATTCATAATATACACACCGATTCCTGCATGACACTGGTTGAGTATTGGTTCAGCGATAATTTTATCAAAAATTATACCGGTAACCGGCAATTATCCACCTGAGATATAAAGGCCTGATTGGCCGCATTGTGTGTAGTTGTTTTGTACATATTACGCATGTACAGGTCTAGACTCGTTTCTGTAACGGCATTCATAAATCAATCCGTATGACTTAACCCTTAAATCGTTAATGCATAGTATACCCATAGCAACGTCTTTATTTTAATAGTGCGTGTGACATCTTAATGGATAAACGGGTCAAAGAGGGGTGTGTTCACATGTTGTCCAATTAACGAATAATTTATGTAATGTAAGTGCAAAAGGGCAGTCGGTTAGTGAAATACTGGGACAACAGAGACCTTGAATATTTTGGTTTCCCTTATATTAATCCATTTTTCGACGTGAAAGATATACATTGCTATAGCAATAAGAATGTCAAGAGGTAATCTCCGGCGCTGTGATTTGGTTGTCGTTGTCGCCAACATATGTCTTGTTATTCGAGTCACATATAACCGGAAGTTGAATTTTGTTAAGTTAAATTCCTGTCCAGCTGAAAGAAACAGTGTCGTGCAAAAGTCTCTTCCAAAAATTAACAAGTCATTGCCATGCTGCCAATTACTGATAGTCTGGAAACATTTCATAAATTAGAAATGAATAAATGACAGTTTGATGTATAAAATTCTTAAATCACGAAGATGAAATGTGGCAGACTACTGGACAAAAGAGACTCATCTCATTCCGTAAATGTAAACAAAACGAAAGTAGAGATTATTGGCTTAACTGCAAACAGCCCTATTAGCCATTTTTGGGAGAACTTGATAAAAAAATTTGTCCACCACTATCAAATTGTGTTACACTTGTCCTGAAACGAATAAGAGTTTAGTCTAGCTGGTAAGAAAGAAAGGTTAAGCTTACATTAAAGCTATGTTCCCAGAAAAGTATTTATCGGGTGGTTATTTCCAATAGGAGCTTTTACGGGTTTTCATTTTGGCGTCATTTGCGGTTATGCGCAGACATTGGCCTTATTCTTAGACTGAAACCCATAGGCCAGTGTGTGTTTTTTTGTGAAAATACCGTCGTACAGTAAGCTTCTTTTACATAAAATGGAACTGAATGCCATTTCTATATACGCGTAAGGTTTACCGACCGATGGCAGAAAGCGATATTTACAAAAACTTTGATATAGGAAAGATACGGCAAGTTTACCAGACCCGTATATTGGCCGTTTGCAATTGAAACAAGTGGATGACTGATTCGTGCTCAATGGCCCAAACTAAAATTAAGTGAAGTTTATAACGCATTTTACGGTCAAACAGATGTTATATATTAATTACGGAACTATTAACACAAAAGATTTTTAAAAATGGTCTATCCTATTTACATTCAACTGCCGACTGGACAGTTCTTTGCGAGGTTGATATATCGTCTGCTAGGCCTATAGGCCTAGCACTGCATGCCACGACCCTATGTACTCGACACAAAACACGGTACTACGTTGGTCTTTGTTTGAGGCTGTCAACTTGAAAATAATTCCAGCTAATAATACTTTAAATAGTATGCAATATGCAAATAAGATTGTTTATGCATGCGTGCTGTTAGCCAATAGCTATTGTAAATTTCCCCGCGTTTAGACGGCTCTTACCAATGATAAAATAGTTGTTTGGTGCACGGGGTAAAACTTCAGCCATTTTTATAAATTTTTCTCTTGATTGATGGGATATGAATAACAGAAAGAATAAAACGACGATCAAGTTGAATCTGTGAATATTTTTTAAAACCGTTTTTTTTCTGTTAATTGTAGTCACATAGATCGTCTTGGCTCAGCCTTTGGCACTCAGTGAAATTTTAATCCAATCAGTTTATCTTGCCGCAACCAAGAAGAAGAACGATACATTTGTGTCCATTTTATCAATTTCTAATTCAGTATTTGGTTCAGAGAACGACTGTTGAATGAAAATATGTAACTGAACTCGGTGCATTCTATACATCGTGATTATTATTTGTTCTCTTTTTTATTAGATGTGCTACGGTCGTGCTTAAATTTTAATATCGTCTTGAATACCCATTCTATAATTTACTCTTATGCTCTATTTCATGGCATTTTACAACCAAACAGATGTTATCTATTAATTGTTTGCAGTAAAATTAAAACAAAACATATAAATCGGCTTCATACAGCAATGCATCTTTGTAATGCTTTTGCGTACTGCAGTCAACTGGGCCGTGTGCGAGCTTGACATATATCGTCTGCTACAACGCAGTATATCGTCATCAAAACAAAAAAATAACAACTTAGACATGATTTGAAATCGGTAATTTATTAAGAATGCTACATGCAACTTAAAACAAGAGTGGCATTAAAGAATACGTTTTCTATAAAGAGAAAAAGAGGGAAAACCCCGCTTTCCCTAGCATTTACCATGTTAAGATACGGATAGAAAAAGGCCAGGCTAAAAATAGACACCGGAAGTACGTCACGCGTAAAAGCTCCTATAAAAGTATGGCAATTTTGGTATATATGGAAAGTAGAAATATCCAATCTTACTAGAAAAATACTGGATTCCATGAAACACAATCATGGAGCGCATACAGGATAAAAATGTAAGGATTTCCCTAATCGACAGCCCGACGATTAGGAGTGTGTGCACGCGTGACGTCCAAGGTTGCACGCAGCTGGTTGAGCGCTTGATGTACATGTTGATAAACTTTATGGAGAATTAGACGTACAACACTTTCTGAGATAAATATCACGGAAAAAGTCGCAGTGGATAATCCGATAATTTAATTAGGCTTCGATATTTGTAATAAATAGTCAGCAATTAAAGATCGTCTTGTGTATGCAATGAATTCTCCTCCGACTTCGCCTCCGTTGCTAAGTACCGAGAGAGGCAAGTCACGTAACACAAACATGATCTATTTTGATCAGGGTATTTCTTGACAATTGCAGTGTTTTGAGAAGGATTTGAAGCAAAATTATGATAAATTAATTAGTTTGAATATGTTTTTAGTCCAAATATATCATCAAATCACCCAGTTTGTACCCGTTAATGCATCTTTAACAGCTGAGATGCAGCCTGTTATATAGGCTACCGTACTGAAAATCAAACATTGAAATGTTTTTATTTTTAATTGTACAAAATTTAAAGGATATATCTGACTGAAAAATAACAATAATTCAAAAAATGAAAATCATTAAATCTTGGAAATAGTTTTTCTGATGTTGGAATTATAAAATTAAGCCTGGAAACAGGATTTCTTTTAACAATTATAAAACATTTAAAAAATGAAACTTAACAAATGATAAGAATTGAATCAATTATAAGTGAAAACCTGTTAGAATAACTATGTCACTATTACTAAATAGCAGTAAACAAGCAATAAAAACAACAAGGTGTCATAGTTTCAACCCGTAATCTTCTCTTCAAGTTCTTTGAAACAGACAAAATAGTAATAAATATGAGTAGGCCTACACATTATTTTTGTGATAGTATGTAAAGAAAAACCTACATGTTTTTGGAAATACTATTATTCTACATGTGTTTTGAAGGAGTTATTGAATCTTAAATCGCTGATAAAGTGTTGTTTTAATTGCATAAATACTAATATTACTGCTTCTTTGAATCAACTTACTATCTTGACAGAGGTCCTATCAAGGATCAGTGTCTAGTTGTTTGGAAAGGATGATAAACCGAAATACAGTGGAGTGCATGTAAAATAACCCTTGATGACGAGTATGTGATAATGGTGCAGCACACTAAGTGGAATATGCGCATCTTCATAAATTTGGTTGGTGCAGAAAAGTAGGAAGTTAAACCCCATTTTATTACATTCCTAAATGTATGTCGATATGTTTCAGATCTATATACTTACTGGTATTATAAAATGCTGAAGACAGAATGATTCCAGCATTTGTGAGTAGGCCTACCATATTGTTGATATAAATATTTGAATTACAGTTCCACTATGTTTTATTCTGTAAAATATTAGATCAGTTGCTGCACAAATTACAACATACATGCCTGCTACTTGTGTTCAGCAATTAAATGAAATGGGGTTTAACCAACTGGCTTAATTAACACAGGGATTCATGTGTGGACAGCAGCAGTTCTGCTTACTCTTTTTCAAATTCCGACTGCCAAGGTTTCTTTTACATGAAAGGCAATGTAGATACGGATAGAGGACCTCGGTCTTTTAATCCCTCTGAACAACTAGACATTTTTCCTGGCCGGGTCCTTCATCTTGCACCACTTGCAAGTAAAAGCGAAGCTGGAAAAACCTACGGCACTGGAACGTACTGATGTATGAATGGTTTTTGATTTAAAGCCCAGTACAGTCATTTATTTCCACCATCTTGAAACCCAAGAATAATATCCATTTACGATCTTGCTCTGTCTTCCGTTTCTCCCCTTTTGTATGGTCATTTTTGTTGTTGTTTGGTCTAGAATCCAAGAAGAGGGTTTGAAGTGACATTTTCTGCCAGATTTTGGTGGATATTCATGGGTTGGAGGCGGAAGGATAACACTTACAAATGAGAGGGTAAACGACAGATAATTATGCCAATTTAAATTTGTGTTTCTCAAAGTTTCAATGGACAACCTCATACAAGCTTTGGTACAAGACATGGCCAGATGTGGCTTCGTCTGTGGTGGAGAGGATTTGGTCTAATGAAAATTTTGGGAAAAGTTGGAATCAGAGACCAGAATTAAACACATACATTATGCAAGAGCTAAATCTGCCTATTGCAGGTCTTTCATTAGGCCTGAAATGTTATCTTAATTATTAATAAGAAATTAACTAACTTATCCAGACCATAATCAACTCTCGATGGTATCGCTAGCCTGCGATGTTTATTGGATTACGTTCCGATTTTCTGTTTGACTTCCATTCATAATTAAATCAAAAAATGGATAATCGAGACTGGAATTTTCAGCAAATACCCTTTACATTATCAAGTTTTTAACTATTATAGTGAGAATTGTCAGCTCTTTATCTAATCTCCCATAATGTATCTTTAACATTAATTTCAGTACATAGATTAATGGTGGTCTGCACCCATATAATATTGGATTTATCTCCCTTGGATTGCCATAATTGAAGGGAATAGAATTGAATGTTTTGTTAACAAAATAATCCTGTTATATTGGGACTAATACATTGTTATGAGGGTAGAATTTTGCCAGGAGAGTGGCACATCAGCATAGGCCAATTCTTCCAAAAATTAGACTAGGCTACATAGTCATCTGATGTCTACATGACTTCCAGGGGTACTGAGTTTAGTCAATTTGAAAAATATTTTAAAAGTAGACCAATGGGCCTACAGCACATACAATTTTCTTGAAATTTATGCATCGTTTACATCAGTATATGATAATGAGACAGTGGACTGCTCAGAGAGAGAGAGAGAAAAATGGGGTTTAACGTCGACTCGACACAAACTAGGTCATTTCGGGACTAACATATGGATCAATTTTATTTCCATAATTCGCTTGCGCGTAGGGGTCTTTAGCAGTGGGAGGAAACCGGAGGACCCGGAGAAAACCCACGAAGTTGGACAGGCGACCCTACTCCTTGTCACGTACAACCGGGGATTCGAAACCACGCCAGTTGACTCAATGACAGACTTAATGATACAGCACGCACCTGCTAACCATTCGGCCATCCACCCCCCCCCCCACCCCCCCCCCACCGCTCAGACAGCTTAGCTTCCGTGAACATATGGTTCATTGCCTGGCAGCCTATCTTTTCATTGTTGAAGTACATGTACTATTATTTTATTTCAGAAATGAAAACTTAAAACTGCATTTTTACTGTAAATTGCTGTACATTGCATAAATTTACTGTAAATTCAAAAGCAGGCTAATTAACCAAGTGTTTTAGCTGAGAGTTCCAGAAGCTTAGAACGGCCCACTGTAAGTTGTCAAAAGAAATTGGTTTTCTCATTATTAGCTTACTTGCTATCATTTAATAAACATGTTTATTGAAGGTGAAGAAACTGTCACAACGAATTACCGGCAGCCAGCCAGACACAACTGATATTCCACCATTATCTAAAAGAGATACTTTACAATTATCTGACGAGACCGGGGAAACTTCAAGCATGGCCAGAACCAAAAAGAGCAAACAATCTTTGATGTCAAAACAATCAACATTTGTTTTGTCAAAATCCAGTTCAGAATCTTCAACATCAAGCAAGAATGGCAACTTGATCACTACTGAATCAAGTGGCTCATCAGTTGGCTCATTGACGAAACGAACATCAGGTGGTTCTGTGATCAAACGGACATCATTGACCAAACGAATGTCAAGTGGCTCATTGACCAAACGGACATCAGGTGGCTCATTGACCAAACAGACATCAGGTGGCTCAGTGAACAAATGGATACCAGGACTTCCAGGCAATTGGTCCAATATACCACCAACTGGATCTTTGACCAAACGAACTTCGAAGAGCTCATTAGCCAAACAAAATTCACACACTTCATTGACCAAACGAACGTCAAGCAGTGCATCTAAGAAATTAAGTAAAGGTTTATCAAAGACAGGTGCAACAAGTGTTAATGGGATAGAGCCATCACGACAACCTGAGAAAAGAGGAAAGGTTGAGCTATGGTTTTATAGTGGAGAGTTTGTATCTGTCAGGGCTAGTGATGATGATGGTAATTATTATCATATCTTTATTGTTTTTCAAGAATTTCTGATTCATTCATAAAACCCTTGTGTATAAGTTCTCGGGATAAGGAATCCCATTGATTTTCATTGATTTCTGGTAAATATTGTTGGGGTTATAGCCTTTAATCATTCATAAAACCCTTGTGTATAAGTTCTTGGGATGAGGAAGCACATTGATTTCTGATAAATATCGTTGGGGTTATAGCCCTGGCTCACTTAGACAAATTAGTCTATGCGATTAATTTCTGTCTTGGTCTTGGTCTGCACTCTTATTATCCTTTTGGATCTAACAAATATTAATTCCACAATTCACTTGAGCACAAATGAGTGGCCTTAGTGTTAATTCAAACTTGTCGTCAGAAGTGACAGGAAATCTAGACTTTCAGTTTAATTAGGTCTAGCTGGATAAGCAAGACACACCTTTCCTCATGTATGATGGTCATCTCAGTTTGTAGCCATGAAGTCACATCTGAACAGGTTTTCTGTAGGCAGGGTTCTTAATCCATTTTGAAATGAACCGGCCAGAATTTGGTCAAGATAAGTCATCTAAGAACAAAAAAGTTTATACAGTAGCCTAGCAAGCTGTTTTTTTAAACTTGTTTATTTGCCCCACCTTATCGTTCAGATGACAAAATTCGGGTAGCTTAAGCATTGCATCATGGTAACACCTTTTCAAATGTATGACATTTAATTATACTCTTCAAAAAAAGTAGGGGATATTCAGAAACAATACAAAACTGCAGAAAAGCACTGCTGTTTTTATTAGAGGTAACCAGTGTATGTTAATAACATTCCAATTGCCTACACATGAACATAAACTGTTCATATGGGCGGCTTATCTGACGGCCCCAATTCACTGGCAAAGAGATACACTGTCAAAAGTGAAAATGGACGTTTTTGATTTTTGTCTTAATAATGAGTAATTGCACCACCAATCCTCAGACATTCAGCAATTCGTCGTGGCATGCTCCTAATCAACCGTCCAATCACGATTTGGGGCATTCTGACCCTCTCCTCTTGCAGTGCCACGGCCAATTCTTGCAGTGTTGTCCGTCGACGTCGATGAACACGTCTCCCGATCAACTTAAACGTAACACACTAAAACAAAAAATACGCTAAACAGTAAATCTTATGCAAGAATCGATAAGAAAGCAAACATGGATAGATAAACCAGCACGCGGCAGTTTTCATTAACCATTCCTTGAAGTGTCAAATTTGACAATGAACCCCTCCAACGTGTATGGCGCTATTGCGTGTCACATGTGCAGCTCAGTGGTTCTGTTGGGGCGATAAGTTCTTCATCTGTGAACATACTCTCAAAGCATGTTAAATGTCCATGACTATTTATCATATCACAAACTGCATAGGTATTTGCATTGCAATATCCCCTACCTTTTTTGAAGAGTATATATCAACATATTTTTCGGACCCAAACAGAAGAAATTTCAATCTTTATGACATATTATTTGTTTTTGTTTTAGCATCCTACTATATCTGTCGCCTACTTCAGAATGTATATAATACTAGTGAAGATGTTAAAATTCGATGGGTGGAGGAACGACCTTCAGGTTTCCGCAACTTGTTTGTAATGACGTCCCGAGAAACAATTGACCCTGCTACCATCGTTATGTCAATCCGTGTGGAATCGAGACGTGGAAATGTTTTCACCCTTAACAAAGATGACATAGCAGAAACAAGCAAGATTTTAAATTTGATTGTGTCAAGTTCTGACGATCCTGTTGAACTAATGGATGATGATAAAGGTAACGTTTTACTTTCTTTTAATATATTTACATTTGTAATGGCGTGTATCACACTCATAGAATCTCAACTCTTAGGTGATCCTCAATTGAATGTTCTGGAATTGAAATCTCTCAATCACCAAAATAGTGACAATCGAGTGAAAAAGGGGATTTTAAGCTACAATGCATGTGCTGACTGCATAAGAAAATATCTCAACCAACCATGACAGATGAAACATATTGGTTGTGTTTAATTTCTCCGCGATTCTACCCACATCACCTCAGTTGTCCGGACTTGCAGAACTGTGTCAGGACTGAATGCCACCTCATTATCACTTGATTGCTGTTTATATGTTTATGCATTTTTTAGTATCCTTTGTTCAGATATTTGTAATGTCTTTTATAGATATTTGTAATGTCTTTTATTCAGATATTCAAGGGTGGGTCCAGGATTTTCAACAACAAGGGTTCCAGAAATTCTCAGTCTCCATATTTAAGTGTTGTAGTGACAATTTATGAGTGCTGAGGGTGCTAAGAGCACACAACAGGAGGTCTTTAAGGCCTACCCTCAAAAATGTATAAAAATGGAACACTGAAGATGTCATTTCTGACTGGATATGCGACTGATATTTAAAATTTCTTTTATTCTGATATTTAAAATTTCTTTTATTCTGATATTTAAAAATTTTTTTATTCTGATATTTAAAATTTCTTTTATTTAGATATTTTTATTTCCACATGTATTTCATAGTTATGAATATTGAGCCAATTGAACCATGAAGAAAGAGGCAAAAACTTGACACAAAGAAGCAGTTCTTGAGAATAAAAAAGCTGTTCTTGAAAAGAAAAAAAAATTGAAATGAAAAAAGCCGCTCAAAAAGAAGTTCTAAAAAAAAGAAAAGAGTCATTCTTGAGAAGAAAAGAGCCCTTCTTTAAAAGAAAAAATATGTTCATCAAGCAATTCTTGAAGAGAAAAAAGGAGATCTTGAAACAGACTGTATTTCGTCAGAAAAAGGCCGTTTTTGATGCGAGAAAGGGGGAAAATGTTACATCTTTATATTTAGATATAATGTATTTTTCTGTTTAGTTATTTTCTTTCTCTTTATTAGTTTTGAAAGTTGAACAGATTGAAACCCCAAGAAAGAAACCAAAACTTCACAAAAGTGTAGGACTTAAGACAAAAGGTGGTCTTGGCAAAAAAAATGCAGTTCTTGATAAGAAAAAAACAATCAACAAGAAAAAAGGTAAAGCTACAATATCCTAGCTAATTTCATGAAACATTTAAACTCATTTGAGGTTTTTATGTTTCTGAATTATGTTCAATAAACTTTAATAAGGAAGGAGGCTTAATATCTCGAAAAAACAGTGGAGCCACGGTGGCTTGTGAGTGAAACATTGACTTGCTAACTTGGAGGTGCCGTGTTCGATTCCTGCTATTGATGCTTTGCCTTTCTTTTAAAGGTGCAGAGCCAGGTGAAAAGAAAGAAAGGAAGAGAAAGACACCAGCTAAAGCTAAAATAGACTTGACATTAAAACCAAGACCTCATATTAAAGTTCTTGTAAAAGATCCACTCTTTGAGACTAGGTACATTTACAAGTTTTATTACTAATTTAGACATGGATCAAAAATTGAATAATGTAAAATGTCAAGAGTATATTTTTTATAGTTCATACTTTCGTTTTATTTGTCTGTACTACACTACGATCCGGAAGAGTTGTTATATAACCTGCGTTCTGGATGGCGTGAGGTATTAGCCAATGAAACTATCTGTTACGGCGACTTCTTGGCGTACGATGCACGGAACTGTGGGTAAACCACTTGAAACATCAGATGACCTCCTGGCTTGCTTAAAGATGCATTATGTGAGATTTAGATAAAGAGCTGGCCGTTCTTTGTATACTAGTTCAAAAATAGATAATTATAAATGAATATATTGCAATTGCAGTCAAATTATGCCTACTTTTTACTGAGCAAAGTTATCAATTTTTGACAAGAAATGCAGATGGAAAGTTCATAATTTTTATTGTCAAGTACCATTATGATGATAATAAGCAAAGTCTTGATTGTCAGGTCTTCTATCAGTAATCTCCGGACATATTAGCTAACAGTTGCGGATCATAGGGGAAAGCCAAGATGAGTGAATTATAGTAGAGACTTGTTGAAATGGAAAATCTTAAAATTTCTGGACATTTTTTTTTGCATTATTTGAATCATTGTACTTTCATTTTCAGTACAAAAATGCCATTTATATCGAAGTTTGCTAACTCAAGATTGACTTTCCGGGCTGTTAATTTGGATGATCTGAAGTTATTAAAAAGTTTTTTTAATGATAAAGATGAAACAAAGCCAGCATCAGTAATAGTGAGTATTGTCGTCTATATGATTAATGACATGGCAGTGTATGTGTTTGTTGAAATCAATTGAAATAAAATGAAATGGGGTTTCATGTCCTCCTTTTCTGAACCAAAAATGGCTGATGAAGATGGACATACAGTGTGCTATGAGGGAAATTTTGCCCGGACAGCGGCACTATCGCCTACTCTTATATCGAAATTCTAACTGCCACGGGATCTTTTACGTGCATTCCAATGTTTACACGGGACCTCGGTTTTTCGTATCATCCGAAGGACTAGACAGCTGTCCTTGTCAGGCCCTCCGTCCTGCATCACTGACAGGAGGAAACCACGTCGGAAAATCGGGATGAACTTTCTCGGCCAATGCAGGGATCGAACACCCGACCTCCAGGCTAGCGAGCCAGCGCCTTACCCACCTAGCCACCGTGGCTCCCCACCAGGATTGAACCTAGGACCCAATTTTGAACATCTGAGACACGCTACCTGCAGAGAAGTATCTCAGACACAGTCAATAGCCATGATATCCATATCACGTGATCTACACATCACAGGTCATGACATTGACGTCAATGGGTCATGAGGTCAACAACACGTTACATTGTAAACAATAGGTTTATCGTCAGCATTGTTTCCTTTGCACCCATAAAGACTATATAATTCGTCCAGTCCCAACATGTTCTCTCTTCTTCCAATGATTTTTCACAAAAATAACACTACAACTCATAGAATTGATGTCGTCTTCAATGACAGCATCTGCAAATGGTTGTTCATAGAGGCTGCCGTCTTGGCACTATTTTGTGCGTCAATCGTGTCTATTTCAGATATACACAATCAATTCTGTTGATGTTTTTAGCGTTGGGATTGACTAATAGTTAATTTATTTCAGTTCTAAAACTAGCCAAATTCTGGAATTTTCATACGTTATAAGTTACGTACACCTAGGACCCCACATCTTCTCACGTTAACTACGCACATCTTATCAAGGCCTTCAAGTAATACCCTGCATATTTTGGCACTAATTTCGATTGGGTATTCACCCAGCTTGTGAGCCTATCAGATTCCTCGATCATCACGAATACCAAGTCTTGTACTTTCCAGCTAAAATGTCTACCTGTGATAATCGGGTTGCAAAGGTCAAGGTTCGTTCAATGTCAAAGTTTCCGTGGAGGTCACTATGTCACAACCTGTGATTGGACGCTACTGTTCACGTGTCTGCGGATAATGTAGCTATAAGTTTGGGAATTGTAAATGTTGTAATGTCGGGTTGTCAGCCATCTTCCTCTGAATATACAGTACGATTAAAAATGTTGTAATGTCACGTAAAAATGTTATATTGTTGGATTAAAATGTTGTGATGTCGGGTTATTGGCCATCTTCCTCTAAATATACAGTATGATTATGTACACTGATCCTGGTGTTGGTCAACAAAGTTCCCCTGGATTTTACATCATGGTTTCTCCTTTTGCATTTCTTTTTCTGCTCAGGTTAAGCAAAGAGTTATTTAATTTTTTGCTTTATACTTTAGAAAAGCATAAAAATGCAAGTAATTAATAGATGTCATCTATTTATTTTGAGATTGTTGACTTGTTCAATTACAGTTAAGTCAAACTAGAACAGTAGATAATGTTGTGGATGAATATTCAGCCATACATTATGCTATAAAAGACCAAAAAATTGAAATATTAAGATATTTGATAACAAAAGCAGATGATGAAGATGTACGGTCAGAGTATAGAAATTTCTGTAGTCTGAACACGGGAAGGTCAGTATAAATTCTTTGTTCAAGGGTTTTCAGGATTCTGAGTGGTCTAATGTGTGCGCTTTAGATCATAAGGTCTGTTGTTGAGTCAAGTGACATGGTTTCGATTCCAGGCTTGTATGTGATAAGTAGTAGGATTGCCTGATTAACTTCATGGGATCTTCTGGTTCTCCTCCAACTATTCCGATGAGCAAGCAGAATTATTAGACCGTCTGTCCAATTTGCTTATGCCGTCCAGATGTACGGTACAAGTAATTTATATATTTGATTTCTTCTTTAGAACTGTTTATGGAATTTTGACTAAATTGTATATGTAGGTACTGTGCAGAGCTACTTAAAAGGGCAAATGGGTAGTGCATTTATGTATAAATTGCATGACAGTGTATATAGAGACAGAAATGGGGTTTAACATCCACTCGACACAAACTAGGTCATTTCGGGACAAACACATGGTTCAATTTTATTTCAATAATTCGCTTGTGCGTAGGGGTCTTTAGCAGTGGGAGGAAACTGGAGAAAACCCACAAGGTTGGACAGGCGACCCTACTCCTTGTCATGTACAACAGGGGAATCGAAACCACGCCAGTTGACTCAATGACAGACTTTATGATACAGAGTGCATGTGCTAACCATTTGGCCATCCAACCCCCCCATGACAGGGTATAGCATCAAATGATTATAAAAGGGTGAATCATTGTGTCTCCTTAGTAAAATACTTTCTGTTTCTAGATAAAGTGTTTAGTGTACATAAGAAGCTTAAGTCATTCCTCTTGTCAGCCTTTGCTAAATAAGTGTAGGATGACAGCAACACACAGCCAACAACAAGTATTATCATTTAAAATTTTACATTTTCAGTTATAATCCACGTTCATTAGGTATCGAGGCAGTTCGACCACTGACTGTCAGTAGAGGGGTCAAAGAGGGCAACGAAGCACTGATGAAGGTATATAATTATTTATATTTTTGTGTTTGGCTAAATGACATCTATGCACATCAAAATGTTGATAGGAATGTATGATTATCCAGTATCATTTATGATTGTCCTTAACATTTATCATGTTTGTGCACTTGATAAAAAAGACTATGGTTTCATTCAAATTTTTGAAAGTGACGCAGGATTATCTGAAAACCAAAATATTTTTTTTATGTGGCCTTAATTGAATGTTATTTTTTTTTAAAGGATACAGAAACAAAAATTCAAATTGAGCAAGATGAATCATGTTTTGACAGTTATTTAAAATGTGCTATGAAACATGGTGTGAGTAAGGAAATATTGGAAATCATTCTTGTAGAGAAATCAAAAATCATCGGCACAGATTCTATTTATGACTCATATAATGTAAGTTTCACCAACTTCTGAGAACTAGTTCCCGTCCTTTCTGTGAAATTTCAGTTATTTCTGAATTTTTATTACGATTATCTGATCTTGAATGGGCGCCACGGTGGCTAAGTGGATAAGACGCTGGCTCGCTAGCCTGGAGGAGGTCGCGTATTCGATTCCTGCATTGGACGCCAAGAAAGTTCATCTTGATTTTCCGACATGGTTTCCCCTTGTTAGTGGCTCAGGACGGGGGAGGGTCTGACAAGGACAGCTGTCCAGTCGTTCAGATGGGATGAAAAACCAAACACCAGTGTATACATTGGCATGCACGTAAAAGACCCCTTGGCAGTTGGAATTTGATATAAGAGTAGGCCACACCTTAAGACTTGTGTTTTGACCTAAAGTTAAATTAGTCTCACATTCGGACATGTTTAATTAAAGTAGCTAAATCTTTAACTCAATATTATCTTAAGTTTTTGACATTGAAAACACAAATTATTTGTCCAGTTAAATCAACATTGATGTTGTGATCTTACCAGGAAAAGATGGGCTTCTGATATCCAATATTTAAGACAAAATAAACATTTTACCATCAGTACATGAATCGTGTACCGTAATTCGTTCCAGCGTCATTTGTAACAAGGGACTGATTAGAAATTATAATAAAATCAGAAACAATTGAATGTAAATCAGTTTATATACATTAACATTACATTATTTTATGCGTTGTGATCCATTTGTGCCCATTTCTAGGTCCCAAATATTAGTGATTTAGCTCCTTTAATATCAGTAGCATAATTTGCCACTACTGGTGTTGCTGACAATTTTGTGTCAGTTACGTTACTCAGACTGTAGGAATATGTTATGATTTGAATAGATATTGTTAAATGAAAGGCTGCAGTGATACTCAGTGCTGTATGACTATAGCAGAGTATGCAATGAATAGGCCTACAACTCCAAATCATGTGATAGAGTAGACAACACTTTTTGCTTCATAATTGTTCACAATGACGTACCAGAAATACTCAACCATCCAGATTAGTCAAATGTTGAAGGTCTGTTACATTTTTTGTCTGAGCAAAAACAATACAAGTATAATGTTGTTGATGATTTAATTTCAGATTCAAGCAGCATCTAAAAATTTAGATTTGGCTCTAGAAAATGGCCATAGACAGATCATAGTTGATGTACTAGAAAAGAGTTTACAGAATGATTATAGACGCGATAAATTATTACTATATTTAAAGGTATAAATTCCAATAATTTTACTCACTGTATTAAAATATCTCTATATTTAGCAAGATATTAGAATGGTATAATATTTCATATTTGATCAAAGTGAAATATCTCAGTATTCTACAAGATATTAAAATTGTATAATATTTCATATTTGGTCAGATTAATGTGAATTTTTTGACTCTCAGAAATGAACCAAAGGCTTATAAAGTAACTACTATGTTTAATTTATGTTAATACGGTAAATAAAGAGGAATAGGTTATTAAGGTGATTATTTTGATACCATAAACAGAATGAACGTGATTATTTCTTATTTTACTTTTCTGATTAAATTGAATTCACCAGATTGCGGGTTCCTTGTCATGTCTATACTCAGGAATTGTATATATAGGTAACATGTGGACTTTAATAATAAAAAATACATTTAAAGATGCATTATGTAAGATTTAGATGAAGAGCTGACCGTTCTTACTATTATAATAGTTGAAAAATAGATAATGAAAAATTAATATATTGAAAATTTTATTCAGATGACTTTATTCTGAGCGAAGTTATGACGCTTTAAAGATGTAGCCTAGATTGTTTGTTTTCGTAGCAATGTTTATACTTGACAATTATTTTTGCTAAGTCTTGATTATCTATTTAATCGTTAAAATTTAAACTCTCATGGGTCTTTTAATCCATTTAAATCTCAGCCATCCGATGAGTTGATTAAAGGCTTGTCATGTGAATAAATGTCTAATTAATAATTTATATAACATTTGAAGCCAAAATAAAGACGTGCAATAGGCAGATTAAGATCTTAAATAATACATCTTAAAGTGAATATTCCCTTTTTAGACTAAATGATACCACTTCTCATTTATTTGGAAACTTCACATAGACGACAATGTTTTATTATTGCAGGTTTTAGTAGCTGAATCTGCTGATGAATTAAAGGGAAAAGTTCCACCATCTGCTGTAGCATACAAAGCTAAAATGTTTCAACAGGTTAGTTTCAAACCATTTATATTAAGATTGGCATTCACTTCTCGCCTTCAGCTGAAAGAAAAATGAAATAAGGTTTAATATCCTGTTTATTTCAAATGTTTCATTAGAATTTTTTTAAAAGAACCTCTCCATTTGTAAAGAAAGAATTTTTAAGTGCCTGGATGGTTATTGCATTGAACGATTACCGGGTTCGGAAAGGATAAATTATTTTTATCATTTCTTTGCATATTTCAGATGTCCCCGATACATTTTGCTGTCATCAATCCTAGAACAGAAATAATGGAGAAACTTCTGTCAGTTAATCCTGATTTTCAAGTTGCTGATAAGAAAAATCGTAGACCAATACATTTTTCTGCAGGTTGCGAAGACAGTGGACCTCTAGAAAATCTTATGAAAAAGTAAGTGACCGATTTATTTGATCTGCACAGTGCATGTACCCTGTTCCAATTTAGTTTTTATCATTACCAAATAGTGTTGATTTCTATGAAACAATTATTGTATGTAATAACATACCATATAGAGTGCACCCCTTTACCAACATTATTCAGGTGTACTTTACAAATTTACCAACAGTATTCAGGGATATGTTACAAATTTACAATGATGTAAAATCACTACCTTACAAATTTAAGGTATTCAAGGCTACTTTACAAATTTACCAATAGTATTCTGGATTACTTTACAAAGTTACCAACAGTATTCTGGTGTACTTTACAAATTTACCAACATTGTTGGAGGTACTTTATAATTTTACCAGCTGTATTCTGGTGTACTTTGCAAATTTACCAACTGAATTCTGGGGTACTTTACAAATTTACCAACATCATTCAGGGATACTTTACAAATTTACCAACAATATTCAGAGGTACGTGACAAAGAGTAGGGTTTCCTGGCCAACCTTGTTGGTTTCCTCCCACTGCTAAAGACCCCAATGTTAGTCCCAAAATGACCTTGTTTGTGTCGAGTTGATGTTAAATCTCATTTCTCTCTCTATGTATATATATTTCTGGATTGAGGTGGGGGGCATAAGCCTAACCGTTGACCTGTATCTCAGTGTTTCCATTATTTTGTTGTATTATAGAGGAGCGAATGTTTATGACGCTGATGTTTTTGGTCAGATACCATTACACTACGCTATTAAAGCTAACAGATTGAAGAATGTAGAAGTTTTGTTGAAAGCTGCTAATGAAGGTATGAATTCAGATATTTTATGGTTGAATTTTAGAAAGTAAAACTGGAGGTGGAATATTAAATTGTTATAATTTAGAGAGTAAAAAGGGAGATGATACATTAAGTTGTTATATTGTAGAGAGTAAAACTGGAGGTGATATATTAAGTTGTTATTATGTTATATTTTAGAGAATAAAACTGTAGGTGATATATCAGTTTGTTATATTTTAGAGAGTAAAACTGGATGTGAAATATTAAGTTGTTATATTTTAGAGAATAAAACTGCATGTGAAATATTAAGTTGTTATATTTTAGAGAATAAAACTGCATGTGAAATATTAAGTTGTTATATTTTAGAGGGTAAAACTGGGGGTGGTATATTAAGTTGTTATATTTTAGAGAGTAAAATTGGAGGTGATGTGTTAATTTATTATATTTTAGAGAGTAAAACTAGAGGTGGTATATGAAGTTATTATATTTTAGAGAGTAAAACTGAAGGTGATATATTAAATTGTTATATTTTAGAGAGTAAAACTGGAGGTGATATATTAAGTGATAGATATGGAAAAGGAAATATAAACAGACCAACAAAAACATCCTGGCAACCATTACACTTAGCAGCAGCTACTGGAAATACGGTAGGTATTTTTGATGCTTCCATTTAATAATTGCACAAGGGACCATAATATGTTGGGCTTGAAATGACTTACGGTTAAAGCCTCTCTCTTTTAGAAAAGTAGGGTGTTAAACCCCATTCCAATTCAGTTTTCATTTTCTTGTACCCTGAACTTAACTTATAATTATATATTTATTTATGCACAGGGAATGATAAAGATACTAATAGAGAATGGGGCTGAGATTGACAGCATGTTGAGTATCAATAAGATGAAATTAACACCATTAATGATAGCATGTCAAGAAGGTCATCTAGAGGCTGTAGAATGTTTGATAAAGGAAGGTGCAGACCCCGAAAAAACAGGTTAGTGAAGCGTGTATTGACAGTTCTGATATTTGGAAATTCTATAAAAAAAATAGTCCCATTTAAATTTCTGTGCAATTGACATAAACTTAATCTCTGATAAAATAAAATTATCAGTGGGAAAAGGTCCAACAAGATAAATATTTATACTTCCACATTTTAATGTGGTCATTTGTTACTGTTTTTCTGTTGTTCACTTAATTGTCTTAATAACATAATAGAGGCTACAGTAATACATATATCTTCTTGAATATATCGGATCGTAACTTCCTGAATTATGGCCCTTGATTGTACGAAAAATCACTTGTTCTCTGTCCATCTCTTGCAAAATGTGGGCGTATCTTGCATGGCAATCGCTTGTTATTCTCAAAATACCTCATTTAACTGTAAAATCAAAAATTATTTTAAACCAATCAGTAATAGTATAATACCTCCTTAATTTCGACAGACGTTTGTCAGCGAAATCATTTATATTCTCTATAATTTTTTTTGGGGGGGGGGGGAGGTCAAATTGGTAGCATGTGTGCGCTGTATCATAAGGTCTGTCATTGAGTGTATTTTCTCTGGGTCCTCCGGTTCCCTCCCACTGCTAAAGACCCCTACGCGCAAGCGAATTATTCAAATAAAATTGAACCATGTGTTAGTTCCGAAATGACCTATTTTGTGTCCAGTGGTAGTTAAACCCCATTTCTCTCTCTCCCCATTTATATTCTCTGTCAAATCATCTGTTAAATTTTCTGTTTCAGATCGTTTATTACGAACTCCATTAATACATGCTGGTATGAATGGTAATGCTAATGTTATGTCGTATCTGATAAATATAGGAGTTAATGTTGATAGAAGTGATAGTAGTAACAATACTCCATTACATTATACAGCAGCTTATGGTTGGTATTACTGTACACAATTATTACTACAGGCTGGATGTCAAACTAATATCTCTAATGATTGGAAGGTAAATATAATAACAATTGTCTAGTCGTCTGGATGGGACGAAAAACCGAGGTCCTGTGTACGCATTGGCGTGCATGTAAAAGATTTCTTTGCAGTTGGAATTCGATATAAAAGTAGGCTGTCCAGGCAAAATTTCCCTCATAGCACACTGTATGGTGTACGCCCGTCTTCATTAGCCCAGTCGGAGCAGAACAGTAGGACGTTAAACCCCATTTCATTTAATTTTATTTCATGATAATATGAAGTAGGATTTAGTTTGACACATGTAAAATGATTATAGGTTCGTAGCAATTACCCTGACAAAATCACACAGGGATGTAGATATATGGTGTGCTGGTGTGACGCTTAGATTGTTCAGTGCTGTGCTTCCTTGAGTGTAAAAATACTTAGTACTGACTTGAGAAATTTGCTTGGGCAAACTTGGTAGAGTTGTATAGCTTCTATGCCGTGGGTCAGGGTTCGATTCCCGAGGAGCCTCCTGTCACATCCTGTGATCGCAGCATTATTCAATTAGGTTGGATAGGGTCTAACAACTCTGGACCCATCAAACACAATATACCTAGTTACATGTGGTCACTTTTGTCTGATTCAGTTCTGGGCTTTTTGGCAAGGCAGTGCCAGTACCAACTGGAAAGTAGGCAAAATTAATGTAGAGCAGTTTGCAATTAAAATAGAATCATGCCATTGAAATAGCTCTCCATATACATGGAGGTTCCAGTTTTTGTGCCAGAAATTTGAAATTGAAAGATAATATATGAAATATGTAAAAATGTGTAATTATTATGTGTTACAGACTACCGCACTATCTATGGCTTATATGAAAGGTCATCTAGGAATATTTCATCAGATCTTAGAACATGGTACAGTTGATATTGACTTTCCTGATGATAAAGGTAATTAGAAATGTTTATTATATCTCTACATTTATCAGGAAACAAATGTTTTGGGTAGATATAGTCAGTAAATATTTTATTTTTATAGAATCTTTGAATTTAGAATTATTTCAAACTATCTTTACAAAACATTTGGCATTACTATATGTCAAATCCAATTGATGAAACTGAATGTAGCATTTAGTCATTAGGTGGAATGGTTGAGTACCTGTAATTTTGAGTACGTGTATTGACAGGTGTGCATCATCACTGGGAAGTGAATTAATTGTAGATGTTGTGCATACTTGTATCTGTATATGGTATTATATTAAACTATTGAGAGTTACTCAACCTTATCTTGCAACTAATTTCATTCACATTACACATAATTTTGATATTTATATATAGGTCAGACATTGGTGTTCCTGGCAGCAAAATATCCAAATTCTGAAGATTTATTGGATCAAGTGAATTATTTAATGACCTTAAAACCATCACTAAACATATTTGATATATTCAAAAAAACACCAGTATGTAGTTTTATTTTATAATATTTATTGTCTCATGCCGAATTATAAAAGGGATTTTTTTGTTATCAGGCCATATCTGAAAACAGGCATGCATGTGACACTGTTCATTCACATTTTTATCTATGAAGCCTGTAAAAGAAAATCATAAGAATCTAAACATTTCAAATAAGGTCATCTGCTACAATGTTGACATGACTTAAATCTGGTCACAGTGATAAAATCAAAAGTTAGAGAATGTCATGTGAGTGTGTTAGTGTATATTATTTAAAGTTAGCGGAAACACCACTTTGAATATGTAATTCTTCTGTACCTATTCAATAACAATTGATAGGAAGAAATTGTCAAGTTCAAGAACATTGATCAGAGGATGGGGAACGTCCCTCCAAATGAAGTTTATTTATTTATTTATTTATTTACAGCTTTATCATTTGGCTGAGAAAGATATTATGCCTCCTGCAACTACGGATAAAAAGGTAAGATATTTCATCTATCTATATTATATATGTTAACTTATTTTTGCATCATTTCAAAATGTCTTGAGTCAGTAATCTTATAATAATTGATATATAGTTACTGTGTATGGTTATAATTTATTATCAACAAGGTGCAATGAGATAAAAATATATAACAAAATGTGTCAGAAGAGTAAGTAAACTAGGACGTCACTCTAGTGCTCTGTGGGGGTAGTTTGTCTGATTGAACCATGGATGCTATTTGCCCGTATATGCCAGACATGTCCTACACGTACGAACAGGAATATGCCCTATCCGACATCAAGATATTCAAATTTACAAAATTATTGGACTGTATGGAAATTAAATATGGAAAATAACGAGATGAACCTATTTTTTGTTACGTACAAATTTGAATATTTTGTTGACACATGATTTTTAATTGTGGTCTGAATCCTCCTACTTAAATAATAAGATTTATGCCCCTTTGGTTTTGGTAAAATGTCCAACAAGAAAAATTTTGAAATAGCAACTCTGGATTGAACTGACGCCCATTTAATTATAATGACACAGATGTAATAATGAAAACTGCATTTTTTCTTTTTTAGGTTTCAAAGACAAAGAAATATGAAGAGTCTATGACGATCAGTGTTCAGATTGCAAAGATCTTTGTAAGCCATGGATGTGATCCTAGGGCACGACAAGAAAATGGCTGGAATGCTTTAAATGCTGCCTTGGCAATGGTATAGAATATAGTGTAGCATTTTATTTCAACAGACTGGACTCTTGTTTTCTTGTTTTTCACATAAGGCACAATTTTGCCGACTAATACTAAAGCAGATATAAACTTTCAGACTATACACAATGATAATGAAAGTCCTGGTGACCCATTTTAGTAAAAGGAATCACTTGAAAATTACAATATTTTGAATTAGTTAAATAATCAATCTGAGCACATATTAGCATGGATTATCCAGGAGAAATATTTTATTTTCACGACAAATGTCAATGGTGAATTGTTACTTTGATATTACTAAAAGCATATTGGTCCAACAGTTATTTAGATTTTAATTATATCCAACGTCAGTTATGACCATTTACAGCTGCCATTAGATATCTGTTGGTTTCATGTCACCATTTTTTTTCTCTTTTATTTCTTCGTCTGAATTTCTGAAATCAAACCCGGAGTACAAATTGATATCTGAACATTTTTTTGCTTTAATTATCTACATTACTGTCTTAAAACTTTTCAACCATGGTTTTTGTTGAATGTAAATAATAGAAATTGATAATTAACCTCAATAATAATATTAACTCAAAACGTTTTTTCCCCTCTAGGGTAATGTAAAATTAGCATTGTACTTGAGAGATCTTGGATGCGATATAGAGACTAGTACAGACA